ATGGCAACAAGGTCATAGCTTTCTAGTAGCACGATGGCTTACAAGTCTGCCTGTTTGTTGCCCATGCTGTGTGCATTGGTGCACTTCAGCTGGGCTGTTGGCTGTGTCACCCTGTTAGAGGAACCCCCTTTAGTTCCTTTTAGGTCCTTCTCTGGTGCAAGAGGCTAAGGGGCCTTGCTAGCATCCCATCCCTCTAATCTTGGTGTGTCATCCTCAGCTTGTCATGGGTAAGCCTGGTATTATCCCCCACCCACTTTGAGTCTAGTTTAAAGCCCTGTCAATAAGCCCCGCTAGCTTGTGAGCAAAGACCCTTTTCCCCTTTTGAGAAAGGTTAATCCCATCTGATGCCAGCAAGCCAGGTCCTGTGTAGGCCGTCCCATGACAATTTGATCCCATGTTAAGAATTATTTAAAATTTTATTGTACATGGCTTAGTTTCCTTTTAGGATTGTTAGACTTTGGCAAGTGTTTGTGGGAATGAATAAATCCTGTGAAAGTTATAAAAATAATAGGTCAGCATAAAATGTTTGAAATAATTGTCATCATAATTGCTGGAATTTCTTTGAGACACAAAGTTGACATTTTTTATCAGAGATTAGATGCTTTAGAATGACTGTAAGGAATTTTAACGTTTCAAGTGTAAATAAAATGTCAGTCTCTCATACGCTGTTCCTGTCACTCTGCTGATGAGAGGGGGAATGAAGTGAGGAACTTGGCTAGCTTGTGTACTGCTAGCTTGCATTTAAGGAAAACATTTTTCATTAAAAATTCTGGTTCAGAGTTTTTGTCCTCTTCAAAGAATTTGAGAACTCAAATTTGCAATCAGAAAGTCTCTTAAGACATCCTGTACCACTTAACATGTCATCAGTTGTCAGACCAATTCTTTGTGTTTGATGCCGTGGATGATGTGTGCATGATTCACTTTAGCAAGTGAATAATACAGTTTTCAGAGCTTCCTCAAATTCAGAAGTACTTATTTTTACACATATGAGGTCTTAATTTTGACTATGAGGTCTGAATACCAGGTGCTCCAAACACTAGCTGGAAAGGAAGGAGTAACGCACAAAGCTTGTACCTAGATTAGTAAGATTTTAAAGAAAATGTGTCACTACTAAATTTTTTGTATTGAGCTTCGGCGCTTGCCTAACTTGCTTTTATCTGGCTATTTTCATGTTGGTGGCTATTAAATTGTGAATTAAATCAGAAGTATATATTTTCTAATTTATTTTTCTGGCTTATATACATAAGTAAAAATTTCCCCAGTTTTCAAGAACAGAGTAACCAAAATGATTTCATGTATATTTCTGTAAGTGTCCAGTTATTCTCCATGATGTTAAAATTGGAACATATGCAGGAACAATACATTATTATGGGCTTTCCTGTCTATTTTACATTTCTTCTTCTCACAGCAGAAGGGAAGGACTATAGCTTACTTGGAAACATGAACAAATGGAACCTTTTGTTTACTTGAGGGTTGAATGGAAATGGAAATTATTTCTGTGTGCAGTCAGAAGGCATAGCTATTTATTTGATTGGGGACTCCATAATAAGCAGCAGAAAATTATTGTAATAACTGTTTCAATATTCCCTTTTATACCCTGTGATAAATTCAGACTATAAATCCTTTGAGACAGAGGCTGTTTCTGCTACCATTGCACAGAACACAGTAAAACAGAGATTTGTCTCAGAACAGGTTCCTCCTAGAAGTAGTCATTTCAGCATTCCTACTGGTTTGCAGTTTTGAAGTGATGGTTAAGAAAGGATGCCCTATTATTACAATATATGAAGTCTTGTTATTGATGAAATATGTGACTATTAATAGTAGGTATGTTACTTAAAAGGAAAAAAATAATGCGTGCACCTTGAATTACAACTTCCAGGACAATGTACCTCTTTAGAGCTATGCTTTTCTAGGTTTTGGTCTCCTTTAGATTAAAAGTGAATCAGACGTTAGAAGCTGTGATATTTTTTATTCCCTGTTGGGTCACAAAGATACCCTTACAAGGATGAAAACAGTTTGACTTTGAATACGCCTCACCATGTTAGTTATGAGAAAATATTTACAACAGGGTCTAGAAGAAAGACTGTGTTTTGAAAAACAGCCTGTAATAACTCTCAGTCCACAGTTTCTAATATGTGCAGTCCCCAAAGGCTTTGTAATGGCTTTTTCCTTCTATGTTTCACACAGGGCTATGGGACTCACCTAATGAACCATCTGAAGGAGTACCATATCAAACACAACATTCTCAACTTTCTCACGTATGCAGATGAATATGCTATCGGCTACTTCAAAAAACAAGTAAGTAAATGTAAGACATTACTTGGTGCAAGAAGTTGACATCTAGCAGTGATGAACTAAACAACTAGATGTGACAAAGTAGTTGGATAGAATGCATAGTGCAATTTTATGTGTATATTTTTTATCTACAAAATGTGCTCTGTGTTCATCTTGTGTAATGATGTTGGCTTATAACGCATTTTACTTTGATGGAATCACCTGAATATATAGGTGTATGGTATAGCCTATAATTTCTCAAGTCTAAAATCCAGTCGAGTATAGGTTATCTGCTGCTTCATTCATTCAATTCCTTCACAAGAAATGTGAAGAAGGACCAGACATACCTGTGGCAGACTAGAACTTACCTGACCTGTGCTCACAGCTCCTCCTGATTTGAAGCATGAGGTTCAGGTTCAAAAAAGATTGAGATGTCTAATCCGTCAGCTAGATTTGGTAAAGTAAACAGGTGTCAACTATCTGGTCAGGTGACAGAGTGAATATGGAGTCAGACTATTCTCAGAGAAGTACAGCAATAGGACTAGAGTCAACGTATACAAGTTGGATCATGGGAAATTGCAACTAGATAGAAGGAAATTTTCTTTTCTTCCTGTCCTGAGGGTGGTGAAATACTGGAAGATGTTGCCCAAAGAGGTTGTGGAATCTCTGTCTTTGGCAGTTGTCAAGACTGGACACAGCCTTGAGCAGCCAGATCTGATGAGACCTGCTCTGAGTAGGGATGGGGCTAGATGACTCCTTTAAGTCCCCTCGAACCTCAGCTGTTCTGTGATTCCGTATGTAAAGCTCATACAATTCACTCTTCACACATTCAAAATGAATAAAAGCTGTGCTTGTGATACTGCTATCAGATCTGTGCAGACAGACCCTTCTCATGTCTGAAATGTCCCTTCCCCAGTTTGAAGGTGCTCGATCTTCATGTAAGTCTGAAACCTTTGATGGTAAATTGTGAGGCAGAAGTCCTGGTTGGGTTTCTGATTTTTACTGAGGTTTCATAGATGCCACTGTAACAGAAGAATAAAATGCAGCCAAAGCAAGAGTCCTACACTGCTTTTTATTGTCTTGGTTAATTCTTTTGTGGGTTTGTTTTTCAATTAACTTTTGAACTATATGAAGACTGTAGTATAACTTTGTAACTTCTAATAGGATTTGTTATCTTATTTTTTCATTTGAAATACAAAAGTGAAAAAAAGAAAACAAAATTTTTTTTTTCTAGCTATAAAATTGCTGTCATCGATTTCAACAGCAACTTTCCTTGACTAACGTCTACAGGATTGGCATCCTTTAATATTAAAATAGCAAATTTTTGGAAAAACCCAGAAAATTTGTCCACAGTAAAAATCTTTTCCTCTACCTCTTTACCTCCCCTATCTCCCTTCTTTTCCTATACATATAAGCAATTAACTATTGTTGTATCAGGTGACTCCCATGAGAACGTGTTTGCAACGCTCTGAACCATGGTCTGTAATTCTTTCCATTGTATTGTCTGTATTTTAACATTATGATGGATTTGGTTCTAAATCATCATAGCATTTCAGTGACAGCAAATGTAAAAGGAAGATGGCATGATGACAACTTGAGGTTTTTTTCTTCTTCAGGGTTTCTCCAAAGACATTAAAGTACCAAAAGCAAAATATGTTGGCTACATCAAGGATTATGAGGGTGCTACATTAATGGGATGTGAATTAAATCCGAGGATCCCCTACACGGAATTTTCTGTCATCATTAAAAAACAAAAAGAGGTAAAGGCTGAAATGAAACACTGAACATTATAATCTGTTCAGATGCTTAGAAACAATTCAGTCAGTGCCACGTTAGCTCTCCGCTTTGCTTTAGTGCTTAAAACATTGGAATGTATACTTTTGTTTGTTAGAATAATTCTTTCATTCAAGTCCCAATGCTATAATTTTGCAGTTGAAGCATTAAATTCTACCTTACTAACTTTATGATAACAGAAGTACTGATATTTTGAGGAGTATTTTGTAGCTAAATTTTGTCATCGATGATAACTGACCAAAATCTTGTGAGATTGATTTGTTCTGCAGCTTTGTCAATACTTTTCTATTTTTTTTTTCTCCCCAGTGATAGTAGTGTTCATTAGCGTGACTTTTGAATGCCGTGCTTGTACTGCATGTCCTGTATTTTACTTGAAAGAAAGAGGGTTCTTTTTTCTGCCACTGTTTTAATATAGAAACCAAAGGTGGGCTGTCTTAAATCCCAAGCTATCCCTCTTTGGAGTTTATGTGGGATATTCCATAAAACAAGGCAGTTTAGGAGCAAATAATTAAGATGTCTCCAGTTGTGTTTAAATACCTTCCTGGGTTTTTAAAGCAATACAAATTGCAATGATAAGTTGTTCTTTCAAGATTGGTCAAATCTCATGACTTTTTATTTTGTTAAAATGCTTCTTTATGGAACAATCATTTTCCTTTTAACAACTATTTAGCCCATGCTTGCAGAAAGAGGGACAATATCTGAGTGCTACACATTTAGTTTACAACGTTTCTTAACTTCACTCACTGGGAAAGTTTTCGTATGTCCATACAACATAGATCATATTTTTTTCCCTTTCATTTCTGCTTGGTTGGGTTACTCTTCAGATCCCAGTCTATTGCTGGACATGTCACCTTCCCCTCAGGAATGGGATGTTGTCAGGGTCAGGGTGGGGAGGTGTCTCTCGTAGCCTGTTACACCTCAGGCATGCTTAACTGCAGTAAAACAGTTCTAGTTTTGACATGACACGACATCAACACGTCACTTCCAAAAACTTAAGTTAGTTTTTAAGATTTTGGCTCTGGGACTGCTTTATTAGCATATGTTATTTTGTATTCTTCACTCTGTCATTTGGTGGGATGTCCATATTGTTCCAAAGCACCTGGAGACACTCCACTTGGAGATGAAGTGCCTTGGTCCTACAGACATCTCATGTCTGGCATTGTTAGAAAGAAAGCTGTTATACACTGATCTATGTTGTTGTGTCTTCTCTGAGAAGATGTGTACACCTTTGGAAATGCATCTTAGGAGAGCCTGTTTGACACTCAAAACACAGATCAGGCTTTTTAGTCTCCCTGTTCCAAGGAAATTTAGAAATAGCCCTCATGGTCTGCAGTTTTATGAAGAGTGTTTGCTTGTCTGCACAAATCAAAAGCAATGAAGATGATACCTGGACATAAGTAGAACTTTGAATGTTGACAGTATGTATTATGTACTGATTTGGTTTGCTGCTGGTATTGGCTGGTACTGCCCATCAGACTTTTCCAGTCCTGTCCTATTTTAGAAGTGATGCTTCTCATGGGATCTAAGCTTTTATTTAAAGAATGAGAGTATATGCATATGGCTGCTAAGGCCCTGTCAGCCAACACTGGGTACGAGTCACAGACCACCATTTGTGAGTTTGCACTGCCTCATTTGTAGCTCATTTACAGTCATTCTGAAAAATATGAAAAAAAATGAAAAAACCCTTTATGCAAAGTTTTGTGACCTGCTGACTTCCGAGTAATCAGTGTTACTGATTGAACAGCTTGTTTCAATCCAGAAGAGCCACTGGTTCCTAAATTATTTAAGGATTTAACGATTAGTTGGACAGTATTTTGACGTTACGCTGGAATCTGGCCATGGTGCTGTTGTATACTGTATTTCTCTTAACATTTAAGACACTCTGTTGAAAGTGTGATTTCCCCCCCACTCCCCCTCTTTGAGAGAAAAATACTATATGTGGGGGAGTGAAGGTCCTTAAAAATAAGAATATATCCATCTTTAGTCTTTCCAAAGAAAATAGTGTCTCAAATTGTGGTGGTCTGAATGGCTGTGCATTTGTTTACTCCGAGTTACGCAGTAAGCCATTTTCAAAGTGACATACTCAGGACACATGAAGCATAGGTAAGCATCTAAGTGTGTATCAAGAGCACCAAAGCAAATTACTTAGAATTGAGGTAACGAGATTGCAAAGCAGAACAGAGTGTACCCCAGAATCGGGAAGCCTATTCTGGCATTTACAAGCAGAGTAGTATGTTGGTTCCAAAGAGTGGCATCATTCTGACTTCTTTGAGAGAAAATCTTCAGTAAGAGTATCTCTGACTGATACCTAAGCAACTCTTACAGTTATATAGAGACTTTGAAGTGAACAGGTATTTCTAAGATTTTGGAATATGAACATATGTGCGTTGAAATATGTGCATTCAATATGTGCCTTGAAATTTCTGACCAGGCTGTGCTGAAGCTGTTCAGAAGCACCAGCTGCGTAGAATTAGAGGCAGCTCCCAAGAGCTGTTCCTTCTGCTTCCAGGAAATTTCCCTCCTTACCTCTGCTGCCACCTTCCCAGGAGCTGTGCAGCTTGTGATCCATACGACGACTCCTTTTCTTCCAGATTTGTGCCTGAACAGGCAGCTGAGAGTCTTGGTAGCCTCACGTGTGGGATCAGTGTTTGGCAAGGTAGCTCACCCCTGTTACCAGCTTCAGGGGCTCTATAAGGACCATAAGATTAGGAAGTGAGAGTGTTTCTGTTCATCATGGTTTTGCATTAATTCTCTGGGTTGCTTCTGAGGTTGTTTTTTTTTCTCTGCAGATCATCAAAAAGCTCATAGAAAGGAAACAAGCTCAGATACGAAAAGTTTATCCTGGCCTTTCTTGCTTCAAAGATGGAGTACGGCAGATTCCTATAGAAAGCATTCCTGGAATTAGTATGTATCAATGTCTTTTAATGTAGAACAGAAGCAGAATAGCCCAAGAAAGATCCAAGACTAGAAATACTAATGTAGTCACATACCTATTTTTTATTAAAATGTAATTGTTTTTGTCTGTTTATTTGATTTCTATGAAGATTATTGTGTTTTCAGTACAATTGCTGTCTTCAAGACTTCCCCAAGGCATCCCATGCTGATGCTCTTTTATGTACTTGTGTGTAATTTTATTTCTGTGATCCCTCTTCGATTTGTATTGCAGTGTAGTCAGCAATTTCCCTTTGGCACCTCTGTTGTGCACTGCACTCCCGTACAAGGATGTGTTCTGTGCTAAACATGGACTTACAGGAAAAAATAGAATTAGAACATTTAAGTATCATCTTTTGGGGGATTTTGTCAGCTGTGCTTTTCTGCAATTTATTCTCTGTCTCTACAGAATCAAATTGGGTAATTTTGACATCATTATTCTTTACAGAGGTTGTAGTAAAAGATGAATTATTGAAAAAATGTGTGTTTCATGTAGGAATATTTTAGAATCTTTTCAGCAGTCTGGAGGAAGTGTCATGTAGGGAATTGACTTGGGTTGTATGCTAGAGATGTGTGTTATTTATTAGGAGTACATTTTCTTAAAACAAACCCATTTTACTGCAGCAGTGCTGGAATGGCTTATCTTTTCAGAGTTGCAATAACACGGTTAATGTTTTGACCTACTGTAGTTCCCATGTAATCTCTCTTGTTGTTGGTGTACAGGGGAGACTGGCTGGAAACCAAGCGGAAAAGAAAGAGGGTAAGTAAGTGTTACACAAAGTAAAATGATGAAGCAGTTTGGAGATTCCTTTGAGAAAAGTCTTTAGACAGTGTCATTTGATATTTCCTTCCATCCATTGGAAAATAGATAAATAGTCTGAAAGGGGTGAGTTTTAAGTGGGTTTGGGTTTTGGGGGGGGGATGGGTATTGGTGTTTGTTTTGGGTTTTTTTAACTTTATTTCTTCCATAAAATACTTCAAACTTTGGAGTTGGTTTTAGGTAAGATGCATGTCATGGGAGTGAAGATAAGGGATTCAAGCTAATATTTTTGTGTTTGTATTTTCTTTCAAGTAAGGAGCCCAAGGATCCAGATCAACTTTACAGCACGTTAAAAACCATCCTGCAGCAGGTGAAGGTGAGTGCTAGTTCTAGTTTACCTTCTGTAAAGATTTTTAAATGATTTCAAATATAGAGTTTCCATATTAGATACCTTACTTTTTTCTTTACCAAAGAGCCATCAAAGCGCTTGGCCCTTCATGGAACCTGTGAAGAGAACAGAAGCTCCTGGATATTATGAAGTTATAAGGTTTCCCATGGGTAATGCCATTAACATTTTTTAAGTATAGAGTTTGAAAATCTTTATAGCTGGAGACATAATAGATAAATTGTAATCGGATTTGTTTTATGTTAAAGGAGATATATTACTTGCAGCTGAATAGCTTGCGGCTCTGAAGTGCCAAGAGTACGATGCTGTCATTTGAAATCCATGACCTCTTTATAACCTTTATGAAGTATCTATAGCATATACATGTGAAATCTTAGTATGCACTAGAGAGCCCTAGCAAGCTCTTATACAGTGCAGTCAGCTAGAAACTTTCAGGACTGAGCTAGTTTATGTGAGTTGTACTTGTGTGTGGTAACTGGTCATTGCAAATCCTACTAGTATGTTAAAAATCTCAAGGCAAATGTTCAGGAACACCTGAACCCTTAAATTGGTTTGAAAAACATATTTAAGCTTTCTAACTCACAGAGAGAAAACCTTTTCAAAAGTACCAGGATTTTCTAATGAAGACTTAACAGTTTGCTCCAATTTAAGTTTAGGAAAATGCTTCATGCAACTGATTGTAAGATAACTTTTATCTTTGTATTTTAGATCTACCAGAGTTGTCCAAGGTGGCTTATTTTTTTGTTTGTTTTTATTTTTAAACCATGCAGCTATTTCTTTGTGCAGAATTACTTGCAAAGGGAAGTACACAACTGCTAATAATGTTTTTCTTTGCTTTTTACTGCTGGGTCATACCATATTAATGATGATTCAGTGCTGTTCTAAACAGGTGCTTGTTTTGATTTGTATTGCAGCAGATTTAAAACAATCCTCCTTCATTGTTTATGCAATATTCAGCTCCATCTTTCTAACAGTTTCTGTACATTTTAACGTTATTAGAGAATGAAATACAAGTTCATTGCAGGCTACTGTCAATGAGTTTCTCAGAGAATGAAAGTGTTCATATTGCTTTGCATAGGCTCCTAGCCTGTGTTACACCACTTTGTCTTAAAGATTTTTTTTTTATATTCAACTTACCATTTCCAAATAGCAAATATATGTCTACTTTATAAAACATCACCTGGCTTCCTGTATCCCTGACACAAATGTATTTTTCTAGCAATGAAGAAGAATGTTGATACCCTCCCTTGTTTTCTCCATCTGCTTTTCTGAGGCTGTTTAATCTGAACAGCGGTTACAAAGAACTTACTGCCTGGGCTGGCAAACCCAAAGTAGGGATGTTGTCTGTGCTTTCCTTTTCCTATGTATTACCTCGGAGGTGAGGGCAGCAGCTGTCACTTTAGGATTAAGCTGAAGTCTTTGGTTTGGTTTTTCAGCTAAGGAACCCAGCACAACTAAATCGCATTTTGATTCATGATGAACTTCTGCTTGCTTTCTGCTCTCGCTGCCAGCATGCTGATACTGTACAAAAAGCACTCAGACATAAAAAGAAACAGCACTGTCTTTTCTTATGCTGTCACATACAAGATAAAACATTTGTCTTTATGTTTGCATACAGACTAAATTGTACGGTATTTGAGATGTATGGCTGTAGGTTTTTTTGACTACCTCCTAAGGTCAGTTCTCAGGTATAAACACTTTTTTCCCCTGTTTTAAGTGCTCTTTCAGCTGCTTAGTTTCAAGAAATACTGTTTGGGCTTTTTTTTTTTTCATCTGCCATACTAAAGCTGTATGGCTGAGTGACAGATGGAGCCAAACTTTCACTGTAGTTAGAGAACGGTTTGACTGACCAGCCAGGCAATGTTTGCTTTAGGGTGCACTGAACAGCTTTCTCCGTTGGACACTATAATTGGAGTATGGATATCTAGTTAAGATGTAGGCACCTAAATTTCAGACTTAATGGCAGCCAAATGAACCTTTGCTTTTGCAAGATACTGTGCAACACTAGTGAATGACAAGTTATATATCATTGTAAGAGGTACTTGAGAACATCCATTAAACTTTTCTTAAATAATCCCCTCTTGTCAATTTGACAGGGTTTTTCTCTATTTTACCAAAGTCAGATTTCCCTTAAAAAACCCCACACCAAAACAAAACAAACAAAACCAAAACAAAAATACCCACAACCATGTTTTTAAATCTTAAGTTTTAAGGTTTCATTCCTTTGCCCTGGAGGTCTTTGGTCTCTGCTTTCCTTGAAATACTTATTGTCAGTAAGCTACAGTTTCACAAAGTGCTCCTGAAGCCTGGCTCAAGCATTGCTAAAAAAATAGTTGTAAGAGCATCTGAGGTGACAAAAGCCAAGGCATCCAGCACATGTCCCACTATTTCTATTCCTGTATTCACTCCTAGAACACTTGTAATGTAGACAACATTTTTAAATGCCTGATAGTGGGAAAGAGATGAGAGAACACTGAGATGAGCTATGCATTTTATAGATGACTGATTTTTATATAAAGGAAAACATTTCTTAAAGAATGTTCTGTAAGTAAAGGTTTTGTATGATGCACTGAAAGCAGGAGAGATCTGTTCTCACATGACTCTTAGAAGGATACATAACTATAAACTTTGAAGATGCAATGAAAATGTATGTAGAGTGTGGAACATTTAATCTTTTTTCAAAGCTGCAAGTACTGCCTGTAGTACAGACAGATGTCTTTTCTCTGCTGTGTTTGCACAGAAGTGAGGATTTTAGGTTAACATACATGTTTTGTGACGATTGAATTCTTTGCTTATATACTCCTAAGGCCTCCTCCAGCAGAGCTGACAACAGCTTTGCCTCACAGAGCAGTTAGAGGAGAGTTAGGACACCTAATACCCGCTGAAAACTCAGAAGTATGAGAACACAAAAGAATGATGCTTTAATCTTTGAAAGAATTAAAAATAAACTCTACGCAAAATCATTCTTACAGTGAAAAATTGCTTAGTTCCAGGGTCTCAATTGTTGTTGAAAATAAAAAGGGACAGAGCCTTAGATGAAGGAATTCCAAATCTTAGCTTTGCCAGTTCACATTAAATGGCAAGTCAGTCTAAAGGGATATTGCATATAAAAAGTATTTGAATCAAACACTCTTAATCTATTTTTTTCCTGTACAGATCTCAAAACAATGAGTGAGCGACTCAAGAATAGGTACTACGTGTCTAAGAAATTATTCATGGCAGACTTGCAGCGAGTCTTTACAAATTGCAGAGAGTACAACCCCCCCGAGAGTGAATACTACAAATGTGCCAATATACTGGAGAAATTCTTCTACACAAAAATTAAAGAAGCTGGATTAATTGACAAGTGACACTGTCGTCTTTTACAACCAAACAGTGTGCCTACTTTATGGGCAGGGGAAGCCGTTATGTATCTCAGTTGTGGGACTTTAAAGTTTCAAGAAACTTCTGTTTAATACTTAGCACTTTTAAAAACTCTTTTAGTTTTGCAAACATGTATTATACTGAAGTTACAAAAAATTATTTTATTAAAATGCTTTATAATGTATTTAATTATGGAAAATTTCTTTTGTGTGCCCATTACCATTTGTTCATAAGAAGTTTATCAGCTATAGCCTCAGAAACCTCACAAAACATGTGGGAAATTGCACATGTTTGGGAATATGAAGAAAATTCCCAGACAACAAATGTTACAGCTTACCTAATACAGTATGTATTTGATAAAGTTTTATTATTTTTTTTTCCAGTAAAAAAGAAAACAGTAAGGGAAAACAACAGTTGGGGGGGTTCTGAAACACTTGGTTCTTTGTAGAGTCTTTTTATGAGATATTATTTTTTAAAAGAAATACTCAGCTGGTTGAGAAGCTGTGAGAGAAGAGCAGCCAATTCTGAAACAGGACTGCCTGTAATCTTTGATAGATGCAAGTTTTTCTATTCATTTTGGGTTTTGATAAATATTTTACCTGCAAATTGTAATCTCATAACCACTGTTTAAAAAACTCTGGCTAGATGTATAATGTCATAGTGACTTGGCTTATGCAGGACATAAGTATCCAGAATAACTTCAGAGAATCTGATTTGCAAATACTAGACAATTTTAATTGGCTTAGTAGAGTTAAGGTTTTGATGCATTTCATGATCCACCCCATTTACTATTCTTCATTGATAAATTATTTAGATTATTCATCAGAGATAGAGCCTATTGTACAGAAAAGAAGTCAACATATGACAGCTTCTAGCTTATATACTTGGCTCTGTGGTAAACTGGATTTTCTACTAAGCTTTATTGTAGACATTTATTAACTGTGATTATTTAGACCCAGGAACATATTAATATTTTACAACTCATGTTAGTATATATTCAAATTGAGCATATATATATAAAATATATATATATATTGCTACTTACACTACATTTAAGAGGTACACCTAACTTCCTAATGGAGATGAGTACAGGCCAAAAAGTTGTCACTTGACATTTTCTAATGAGAGTTTGTAACTGCAAATTACAATTGCTTTTGTGAAAAACAGGTTTAACTTCCATTCTTGGTGTTTTATATTTACAGATGTTACACTGGTAAAATTTGATAGTTATAAGACTGAAAAAAAACCCCAATCCTGTGCTGTGTCAAATAATATATTTTGCAAAATGCCTGTGCAATGTTATATCACAAGTTGATTCAGGAACTACCTAGAAGTAGTAAATGTGGTACACAAGGTATTCAAAATGTTAACACTAGACTTGCCATAGTGTTTTGTATGAGATTAGTCTGACCTACAGTTGGATCTATAATGAAGGTACAGTGAGGTTTTTTTTTTTTAAATAGCCAGTACTGGATGCTATAATCCTGTTTTGTAGATTGGGCCTACTGATGCACCTGCTAGCTTGGTATCCTGTGAAATTTTCTTATTTTCAGAGTAGATTTTCTTATCGTATTTCAATCAGATTGTCTCTTCTATATTGAAACATTTGTTTTCTAATTTAAGAATATTTTCATAGATACTGTGCAATAAAGTTACAGTAGGATATGTGGTTTTGCAAATGCTTTAACAGCTGATGAACTTTACATTTGTAAAATTAATATATTGTATTGGTACAGAATAGTTTTAAATTATATATGTACAAAACCCTACTTATTTTGGTCTCTTTTCATTAATTTGTTCTTGCACTACAACTATACACACTGAAGCAATTTCACGACTGAGCACAGTGAAGCTACAAGAGTGCAGTCAGTGCATCTTCCAGCACTAGAAAATACGCAAAAAAGCCTCAGAGTTCACTGGGAGCATGTTGAGGATTCAGTATGGAAAGCTGTGACCATTCCATGTAGCATGCCCAGCTCCAGTTCTGTTATTCCCATCTCAACATCTCAAACAATTCTTTGATTTAGCTGTTCAAAAGTTTTGATTGCTTACCTCAAAGCATGCTCATGCTGTTTTCTCATTTTTATCTCATAGAGTCCTTTATTCACAAGACACAATATACACAGGAGTTTCAACTGTCTTACGTTGAGCTTGTACTTACCCACTCTCACCATGAGGTTACTCAAATGGTAAACTTACTTTGCATACCATAACCACACCCTGCACCTGTCCCAATACCTGACAGGTGATTAGAGAGTAGGGAGAGATTTATTATTTCCACCACCCCTAAGATTTAGTCCTATGCCATATCATGTTAAAGTATACTGTTCAGAGGGTAGCAACTGGAGATCAAAGGAGGCTTACCCTTTTTCCTGAACACTTCTGGGAATATCAGTTGAGTCTAGCTCGACTCAAGACTCCTTCCTGCAGTTGCGATTAAACTGCAGCAACTCCTCAAGCTTACTCAATGCAAAAAAAACCAACACAAAACAAAACACAACAAAAACCACAAAAATCCCAGACCTACCACATCTGCCTTGGGCTGCTCTGCTGTCTCAGATAAACAGCTGCCACAGGTTTGTTTGCTGAAAGGAAATAACACCTGAAGTTAAATCATTCTGCTTTAGTACTACAGGAACTTAAGAGTTACAGAATGAATATAGTAATGCCCAGAGCTAGAATTTTAGGGTCCTCAGGGAAAGCTGTTTCAGTTCTAAAGCTATGTTATACACAAATATTTTCAAACACAATAGATGCAGCTTTTATTATTACTGAAGAGCTTTTCCAACCTTAATGGTTCTGTGGTTCTGTTGAGTGAGTCATGTAAGAAGTTACCAGTAAAACTGTAATTAATACTATACATTTTTATTACAGAAAGGGGGAAGTCTTATACCTATGGAAGTGGGACAGGTGAGACAGGCAATGTTGCAAGACAGGTAAAGAACCTGTCTTTTTGTACTTTCATCATTATTTATTTTGGATGTAGCTTTCCTCTGTGTATTCATATATCCATGAATACTTCTTAAATGTTTCTCAAACAAAGAAAAGCTAGTTTGAGTGCTCTGCAACCTCAAAATCTTGCGGGACAGTTTCTAACAACGTTCTTCTACTATACTGCGTATTGTGGTACCAGTTCAGATGTGGTATCTTCCTCTGTTAAAGATACTTGGCAAAGCAGGGCCAGAATTATTATCAAGTCCCATAATAACAATTTACTTTGCACTCCAAAGCAACCTTCACAGATAACCAGATAAGAACAAAGCAAGCTTCAGTTTGGTCCCAACCAACCATGAATTGCTACTTTATTACTCCACCTACATCAAATTACAACTGGCAACCTTGCTTCTAAACAATGCTTATGCCACATCAAGCTGGCGAAGGAGTACACTGGCTTGCCGTACGCCTACTGCTGACATAGCTACTCTTGAAGCAAACACAGAAACGGTGCAAGAACACTAACCAACTCTGAGCTGTTTCTGAACACCAAGACATTTATTATGAGCTTCAATATGAAACTACAACCCTTACATAAACAAGATCTGTACAAACATGCTTATTAAAAAAAGAAATTGATCTTAAGTGCCTGAAGTTCCCCTTTGCCAACCACTGAGATCAAGCAGGGTATAAGTCATAAAATTACATTCACCAGCTTTTCCATCAGGAATTTCTGATGTACCCCTCCCAAAAGAGTTTGAAAGGAAGCACCTTAGTTATAAAAGTAGTCTTGTGTCTTCTGCATCATTAAAAACAAGTCACTGGGTTAAAAACAAAAAACACCCTAATTTTAGGTCCTTTAATATTAGACACATTTGGGTAAGATACTATGCAACAATAATTTCCCGGATGAAAGATGTCCTTTCTTCATGGAGTGAGCGTGGTTTTGCTGTCACGACTGGAAATCTCAACAACACCCAACAAACTTCTCATTGTATTTTGACAGAGATTTTTTCTTAACAGAATGGCGCTTAGCATCTTTTTTCTGCTTGAAAATTGGAGAATTCAGAAAATTTGTATCTGTAAATGGATCTCCTCTCCTGAGTTTCCTATTAAAAAAAGAAGAGGGGCAAAATTGACTTTTGTTCCCCACATCACTTAGAACATTAACTTTCAGATAATAAGTTCAAGTTCACATGAACTATTTCGTATTACAAATATCAGACTTCTCTTCAAACATTTTATTAAGAACTTATTTCCAGTATTTAAATAATGCTTTCAAATCGTCCATTTGATGGAATATCACAAACTTTATATCAAACTAGAAAGTAAGACACCTACCCTGCAATACTTGGTTCTTTATAGCTCACAGTAAGAGTACAGCTTCGCTTGCGTTTTGGAGATCGTGGTCCTTCACCTTCTGGGACAACAGTTGTATTCCCAGTGCTGGGGAGCAATGAAGCAGTATTGGTAACATCACAAAGATGACCACGAGATGACTCAGAAGGGGGCCCTGGGAAGAAATTAGGCATGGTTAAGACAATTGAGACAAGCTAGCTTAAAAGAGAATGTGAATGAACATACTAGATGTGAAGTAACTCCCAGCTGTAATGATTATCTTCATCTTTCCCCGTAAGAATGCATGACGATCAACAAATACTCAGGATTTTCATTTGGAAAAACAAATTAAGCAGTGCCAAGCAAAGTGTGATTTGTTATTCCACTCAACTTACACTCTTGTTCTCCTCTTTTTCCTCAGCTTTAATACATAATTAAACACATCTGAAATACAGTATTAATTCATAGCCGAGCAATTTCTTAAACAAAACATACCTTTAATTCAAATTTCTGCTGAGGACAAAATGAACAGAGAGAAGAATAAATTTAATGATTTTTATAACATTATCGTGTTTGTATTTATGACAAAAAGCTAAAATAAAAAAGCCTAAATCCTTTAAATAATGTTATCTCTCAGTGAAACAAAAGCAATTACAGAACACTTTCTACACTTACTAATAGACTTGTCACTTGATTTATTGTTTTCAGTCTCTTTTTCATTATGGAGTTTCTGCTCACGCTGTGCCAAACATCTTTTAGACCTTGGCCTTGCATGGACTGGCGATGTATCTTTCTTGTCCGCTGAACTTTTCCTTTTTTTTGATTTGCTCTTATAAGGCTCATAGAGGCTATCATCAGAATCTTCTTCAATATCACTCGACTCAATGGTATTAGTTTCAGATAAGTTGTCTCCATCATCTGCATCAGTATCTGTGTCATTCACCTTATTTTGTCGAAAAGGTGTAACATGGACACACTCTTCAAAATGAAAGTCATAAGCATCACTGGAGCCACCTAACAAATCCAACTTTTCTTTTGAAACCTCTTTACCCTGTTTTTGTTTTGGTCTTTGCCTAGAAGTATATTTAGGCCATTCCAGTTT